GAATTAATGAACTGTTTGGTCCGAAATTCCAGTCAGTTTTGCGAACAAAACTAAAATAATCAAGGACTAGTGACAAAATAATGGCAAGAAGATTTTTTCTTTCTTTCTTGTGACATTCCTCACTGATCTGAATATTATTAGTATGATACAGATTTTAATTAATAAACAATAAGTAGGATTTGAAGTTCTCACGGCCGTGATTACGAAGATGGCTGTCTTCTGGGCTATAGAGCCATGTAGTCTGGTAGAAATCGACCAACTTTTTAGATGTCCTTGCTGCCTCCATCATGAGGGCGATGAGTCATCGCCCTGTTGACGGAGGCAGCAAGAACCTCTGAAAAGTTGGCAAACTTCTACCAGACTACTCGGAGCTACAACCCAAAATAACAATCTTAATAAATAATAAATATGCATATTATTGAAATAAAGGATACAGAACTCGTTACAGTTAACAACTCTTTCAATTTGTTGATCCTTAGGCCGTTTTTGTTATATATTGAGAACAAGTAACAATACTAACCATACTTCACGCATAAGCACAGAAATTTCCAATCGCGTGTGTGCCCACTCCTCGAAAAGACACAATCCTTGCAACATCAAAAATTTTACCTAATGTGGAGGCTACACGTGTTAGAGTAACTTCATAAGAAACTCCATCCTCAAAAGGTGTTACACAGGTTCGTGAATCTGCAGATCGATATGTATCCATGTATACATTTGCGTCTAAGGTTAACTGCATTACATCAATCCATGTCACTCTTGACAAAAGATAGAATTTGTTAAAAGCGTCGTACAACAAGAACACATTATGATCGATAGAGCTTACAGGTGTTTCCTACATAATATAATGGTTTGACACAAGTAGCATTCAATTTTATTTTAATTTAATGGTCCGTCGTAGAAGTCTAAAAACGAAACCAGGCTGCAGTCTCCAAGCAAGATACCGTTCTGGAAGTCTGTAGGACCCTGGACCAGACTTTGACCCTGTAAGTATTTAACGATTCCTTCATTCCACCTACGAAAATTCTGCAGTTTTCTCAATAGACTAGAGGCCACGGCTGCTTCCTCTTCAGTCCCTTCCCTTCAATAATTCATAATCATACTGGCAATCTTTATTCAAGGCTGCACAATTTAAAACATTTTTAAGTTGTGAAGTATATAACAAAAGTTTTTAACTTCTACAACATAATTTAACGTAGGCTGCCTTGAAGCTGATCTAAATAATTCCGGTCTGTTAAAAAAACATACGAATTCTCCTAACAAATATATATTAACCATATAATAACATAGTGTTATTAAGTATCGTGTAAAACTTTATCTCTCGGCCAGAAAAAACAAATACAAGATGTGAAAATAGAAGACCATTTCAGAGGCCTATGCTTAGTTATGGGAAGAAAATATTCAAACAGATCTTTAAAAAAACGTGAAACAGTAGACTTAATTCATTTGGTTCAGCATTACGATGAAGTGGCAGGCTCTTTTGAACTCAGTTATTAATTATTTGTTACTATATAAGGCGAGGTTTTTCTTGATTAGGCGAGCAATTATTAGCTTCTCTGGAAGAGCCCCCCAGCCCTTAATTACATAATGTTCAAAGCATAGAAGTATCTCAATGTTTTATAAGACTTGGTAGATAATTTAGAATCTTAAATATCACACAAATAATGTAGTTAGACTTGCATTCAAGTGTTAACTGGGTGCGTCTGGTGATATTCCATGCATTCTCTATTGAGAATTGCCGAGTTGGTGCGTTTTCTTTCGTCAACTATTTCCTCATACTTCGTTTCAAATCACAAAGAAATCCACGTAAGAATCAAAACAGAAGTAATCTGGAATTAAGTTGCAGTGTGAAAATTTGCCCACATTATAGGTCTGAATCAGCTGTAGTTGAAATCATGCGGTTAATATCCAAAATAAAAATACATTTAAAACTGCGATAACTAAAGCCACCGTACTTATTCGAATTAATTCCTCCCTCGAGTTTATTTTCTCTACGTATAATTTCATCGTCTTTGCTTTCGTGAGGTCTGCATAGAAAATAAAATTCAAAAATAAAAACTGGGTGTTTAGAACTCACAAAACCTACTTTCTTATTGCGCAATTTCCAGCTCTATATATTTTGATTTTAATATCATATTCTATCGATGTACGTTTATAATCAAAAATAAAACAGGATTTAGGAAATGAGCTACAGTGCTAGACTCTTGTACAGATTGTATGCAAAATACGATCGAATCCTATAGAGTAAAACTTTGTTCATGCATTAGAATTTCATGTGTATAACAATTTGTTATAATTATCGTTGTTTGTTATTAATATTACACTATAATAAAGGGATTTAATTGAATCAATAGAAATTTAGCAGTGTAACTAGTCCGTCACACATTATGTCTACTTTAAACTTGTAGAAAATAACCTCAAATTTTGCAACGTCGCCATATTTTTAACTGTTAAATTATAGAAAACACTTTATGCATAATTTGTAGAAATGTTTATAATCTATCTTCATACTAAATCCCATATTCCCAGCTTCAATGGTCCATTAGTTACATCTGTCAAAGTGGAAGATAAACTGAGTTTGGCACGGCCGTCATGTTTGCATTATATTTTACAAAAAAAAAATCAGGCTACATTAATAAAAGCTGCATATTTGTTGAAGATGTATTGCCGTGCATTTCACTACCATATATTAAGTGTCGCTTCCACCTTATACATTCAAGCGTCCTCCATTTTGTTATGTCTGTTTCGGAGAGCGCAAAAGTATGAGGTTGGGGTGATCTCCCATGGAGGCTACCTACAACACGCAAAAGCGTAAGAAAGTAACTGAAGCAGTTATAAGTAATTAAAAGTTTATATTCTTTAAAACCTTACATTCTACGGGTTAACTTACAGAACGCCGAGAACGTTAGCCAAGATGATTATCGAGAAACTTCGGAGGGACGTCTTTACGAGTATGCAAAGCGATCATTATCAATGCCTTCAACACATATTTATTCTTTTGTTGTATCTGTAGTTAGCTATCTGGCTATTTATGCAGCACACTAATAATCAGGAACTGAATTGAATGGAATCGTATCAACAAAAACCCATTTAACAATAACTGAAGTAACAGATTTCAGTAAATCGTTCAACAATATCGAACTTCTGTCAGTGTATGTCCGGCATATCTCTAATTGAAACATGCGGACAGACTGACGAGCGGACAAGACTTCTACTATCGATTTCGTGCGCTTTCCGTGAGAATTTCTTAATATCGGAAACTTGATTGATTTTTCTATAGCACTGCCTCTATTCAACAAAATAAATGAGAGAATAAAACGTAGGCCTATCCTAGTTCTGAATATCTTCATGCAATGCCCCTACTAAAACTGTGCCTACACAAAGGCGAATCCAGGAAGAGAATTCATGAAAAACGTATCTGGAAATTGCCGGAAATAGCGATAAACGTTTCCACTCTTGTTATGCGTGTTAATTCTTACTGACCACCCGTTCTATTCAAATGTCACATTCATACGAACAGAGATGGAAAGTTATTTGCTGTTTCAGAGCACCAAAGATTTTAAAATAATAACAAATTCATTCATTAACGACGCTGTATCAGATGCAGGGTTTATGTATAATTAAATAAGATAAGAGAACAATCAAGAACGGAGAATCGGACGGTTTTGAAGGAAATTATAGAAGTCTATTTCACGGCAAACCTACATTTTTGACATTTGTTTAAAGGACGAGAAAAAATAGCAACAATCTCAGGACTTTAAGGCACTTACAAAACGAAATTCACACAAGTACCACTCTGCTACGCCTATACTTGAAAATGTATTAAATTTATGTTTAGTATCTTGTGTAAAACAGAAGTTAACAAACGTAATATTGCCATATTATCAGTAAATCACAATAAGTTTTGACTCTGTAAAGTTTGGAAATGGCCAGAATGTTACTTATTATTCCACCAATTTTTACATGTCCCTAATTTAATTACACAGACTTTCTTCTGAATAGATGTATCACTCATATTATTAACAAAATACAATAAAGATTAATTTGAGCTTACGCAAAGTGCGACTCCTATTAGCAAGCGTCAAGCAAAATTCATAAAGAATCTTCGAAAGCGAAATATAATCTTCTTGTTACAAACCCATTTCATTCACCAATTGTACATAGCCCGTTATCAACTGATAGTATATCATTATTTAGTTCTGAATGATTGAAACCATCACCCATACCGGTAAAGAATCAAAGTATTACAACCTTCTAATAATCACAGGAGTTCAAGTTAAAACTGCCCACTTGGATTTGCCTAGCAGTATTAATATCCAGTACACAAACGTCTTCGAAATCCTACTACGACTGGTCACTCGTAGGTAAATAACGATGTTATATCGATTACAAACATGCAATACAAGATATTATCCGACCTACGTTAGTTTACCGGTTGACATGTATTTTACTACTACTCCGGCTTTGCAGTACGGCAGTGGACCTTCCGACTTCCTTGCCAAAATATTACGTGTCAACATTTCACTCTTTCTTTTTCGTACACAAATTCATTTGACATTTCCTTGACCGTCGGTTTGTCTCGTAAGAGTATGTGCACTTAAAAGTTGGCAGTGGCAGTTCAGTTGGTAGCTTGTTTTCTCTTCAAGTGTAGGCTGCTGACGTTCGACTTCCAATGAGACTCTTCTTTCTTAATTACAATGTCTAAAATGGCTTTGAAGGCCGTAGAATTTTATTATATTATTAATTCATTGCATTAGTTGTGTTATATTTTATTTTATAATAAAATATCCCAGCTGCCGGCACCGTAGGCAAACACGCTACCAACCGAACAACACTAACAGAGAAGGACCTGGAAAATGAAACTGTGTAGTACAAAGAAACAGTGGAATGTCGACTCCTAATATTTTGGCCAGAAAATCAGAGGAGGGTCCACTTTCACACTACAGAATCTGAGCCGAATGGAAGAATTGAATGGACTAAGTCCAGTTATCAATACTTACATGGGATAATGACGAAGGATGACACGAAGAAAGACCACAGTATCCATTGCGGCGCGTTGATTGGTGAAAATGGGCCCCGTTTCATGACGTCATACCATGCACCTGTCTCAGGTCAGTCGGTGCTGTGTTAACCGATCAACATGATTCCGTGCGGCACATAACACGTTTGAAAATGTAGTCACTCTACACGAGTCTCAAATAGTAAGTCACAGAACACAACGTAAAATGTCTTAGCACTTATTCAATAACACTTTAATTAATACACATGTCATGATACAGTTACTGAACAAGCCTGAGTTAGCCTACAGAATATTAAACTCGTTCGGTCGATGTTCGTGCGTGCACGAAGATTTAGTATTTACCGTTTGTATGAATCACACAATATTTAGTGAGCTTTGCTATTTCCGTGTTAACGTTTTATTACAAAACTAAATACGCGCTACCTGCATTGTATGCATATATCAATATGCCACGGTACAACTTATGCTTTTCGTCTGTAATATCGTAACTCCAGTTTTGTCTGAAGTGACTGCTAAATTAATTTCCAAAAAAGTTCTCAAAGTGAGCGTAACTAAGCGTTTTACAGTAAACAACGTCCGAGTTGTAAATATACCTAATGTTTACATATTAGCCAAAATTTGTATAGTCTGTTAATTCACTATAACTTTATTCATCTACTGAAAAAATATTTATTGGATTTTTATAGTATTATTATTACCACAAAGTGAACAGTCGCATATGTGGGTTTTATGAAGCTCGCAAAATGTGGTAATTAAACTGTTGGTTCCCTGTTGTACCTTTTTGTTATTATTTCACTGACAATTTTAATTCACTTCTCGTGTTGTATAATTTACGCATGGGTTGTTTCCATTTATTTGCCGAGTGCTAAATTGTTCTTTACAAATTAGTGATAATGACACCCATAATAGTATATGGTTCATAAAAATAAAATAATCTTTAAATTACATTAGTACGAAAGTGGCTTTCTATTAATAACTTCTCAGTCTAACACTTTATTAGTTTAAGTCGAGGTATACGTTTGTGGTAATGATGGAAATTATTTAAACATTTACACATCAAAATTGGCACTGTACTTTTAACATTTACGTTATTCTTCTACAGTACCTGACACAACATATTCCACATTAATTTTATTCCCTTCTGATTAAAATATTTTTTCAATAACTCTCTTTAATCCTGCCGTAATTGATCTGAAATATTTGCCTACCTAAACTGGTCGCCTTTTCTTCACTAACATGCATTATCAGATTGCCCTCCAAGGTCAAACGTCACTAAAAGACTGTCTTAATAGGAATTTAATACGTCATTTAACGATGTTCTTACTGAGATTCTATTGCGTCTCCGTATAAGTATTACTGTATCGCTCTGTTATGAACCACTTTTATGAGGGACGACTTTAGTACTGTCTATATCTAAGTAAAATAAGAACATCCCCAATGCAGCACCTATTTGATTAAACAAACGAAAGTTTCTTGTAACTTAGAACAGGCCGTCGGTCATGGTAATTCCAAGCCTCGAGTCCTTGTACACAGACCTGCATAAAATGAAATATGGCTCGAGTTTCTGACTGCTCTAACAAGTGTCACTCAGTTCAGTTTTGGCATTTGTTTCTGTCCACGGTAGCACGTACACACGCTACTGCTGCCGCCGCTGCTACTGATGGATAGACGTTCTAGCAGCTAAAGTTTGCACTGCTCATAACGCGCTGCGTACATTAATACAGTCAAACTAGGAAAACTGATGAGTTAAACCAAGTGATCTTACCCAGTGGCTTGTACTCCACGCAGTTACGTTCTTGAAATTTAAAAGCACAATACGACGTATTGCCTTGACTATTTTTAAGCGGTCTACAAAATCTCTATTCTGCAACTGCCTTAATATACATCAGAGACACGTCATTCTAAACAAATGAGCTCTAATATTCTGATAACAGCACGGTTTAAATTTGTTTACCAATTTAAAATTCAGAGACTGTTAACAAATCATCTAAGAATGTTACATTTGTTCAGAAAATTATATGATCTACGTTTAATTTGAAATATGTTCTGTATTTAAATTAATAGCAGTTGTAAGATTACATTCAGGTACAACGAAAGGTATCTATGCATCCAACTACTGTGAACATTGCGTTTCTTTACACAAACGCTGTAACTTCACCACGAAACTCCGATACACCCTGCAATCTGCTGGGAACTTCTGAAGATTTGTGAAAACACTATACCTTCTGCAATCTCTTTACACGAATTCTTATTATTCGCACAAAGACGGTTAGGTTATGTACCAATTGTGTCACGAAAACAACCACGCACGAACATAATCTTCACAGACTCTATAAGATTCTCACAACACTAACTGTTAATTCTTTAAGTTTTCGTTTTCCTAATTGAATCCATAGCTAACAACAACTTCTCAACGTATCACGGCTTTCTTTTATTCTTGAGTTATTTACGTCTTGAAGAAAAGAAGAAACGAATCGCTTTCTGTTCCCTCGCGCGCGCAGTGATCTGCGTGGGAAAAAGCCCGTGCGCACCTTCTCTGCGCGACGTCTCCAAACAGACTGACTACCCCGCGCTCTGGACTGCACTCGGAACTACGATCTGGTTTAGTTATTTACTATATATACCAGTATAAGGACGGTGGGGTAAAGAAGAGCAGAAAGATAGAATGAAACAGGGAACGAACTTAGCAGCCCCCTGCTTCGCCGCTACCCTTGTCGAATAGTAGAGTCCTCCCACATTCTGTACCAACAGCTCTGCCTCCCCGTTCCACTGTTCCAGATAGGCACACGTTTCCCCATTTTCTCGCTCCCTACACCTCCATACAACGAACACCCAAAGCCACCCTCATGAGTTAATTCTCTCATTGAAAACATCAACCTAACTTACTTTTAGCTTCTGCATAGGGAGAGGAGATGCAGCATGTTTGAATGTAATCAACAAGAAAGTAAAACTTCTTAATTACCTGTTTACAAATAGGTTAAAGGTTTTTTGCTGAACAGGCAACCCGTGGGTCCAATTAAACACAACAAAAATAACTTCGAAATAATGAATGAACAACTTAAATATTAAATCGAATATATATTTCCTTTATGCTGAAAGAATTAAATAGCTATTAAGAAAAATCTGACTCCATAAAGTAATGGAAAGGCGTATATAACATTCGGACGCCAAAACAAAGTTTTTCCTAAAATGTCTACGTGATTCTGAGTTCAAATCTCTATCAGTTTATCTATGCGTACATTTTAGAAATACCTGAATGTAATTCCCAATTTGGTTTCTACCCTTACTGGGCCTGACGGCTGTACTTTGAAGGTCAAAAACTCTAGGCTGAAAATTCTGGAACGACATCGAATAAGTGCCTTTTTAACAAAATGTAATTGTAATATAAACATTTAGAAACGAAGGGCCCGACATTTGTGTCAATAGCACAGTTGATTTGTGTGAGATGCTTCATTTGTCTACCAATTCTTCTGAACCCCCACCCTCCCGGCTCCAAAGCGACATAATGACTACACAATGCAGTGACGTATTTCAGTGACCTGTCTCGTTTACTCCAGACACGTGGCAGAACGTTTCCCAGGAAGAGACATAAAACAGTGTTCTCTCTTACCACAAGCACTCACTTCAAGCACCACTACTTCTTGGTACTAGCCGACTAGTGTGGTACTTACTTTATCTGAACCAAAGTAATCGCAAATAGCATTTAGCAATAAAACGAGACACGTTTTGTCAAACAGCCCCGAAAAAAGAAACGTTAAAGCCCTGTTAAAAATCATTTCTTACATCAATTCATATAAAAAGATAAAAGTTATCGCTGGTGCTTAATTAAGAACCATGAAAAAGTGTGGGGGAGTGGAGGCATAGCTCCACTCTTTCTTGACTTCGGTACTAGATAGAAATTCTCACCTTCACGTCGTGTCCGCTTTCTCCCTGGGGGGGGGGGGGGG